TACACCATATATTTTTTAAAAATGTTGACTTATGTTATTAAATTTATGAAGGCACACGACACATTAATTTTAATTATAATAATAAGTACAATAATTTTGAATTTTGACTGTTGCTCTGTTAAATTAACGTAGGTATATAGTAGCTATTCATAAAGTAAACTGTATTTAAAAAAACTGAAGTCACTGTTAATAAATTATATGATTTTTTAAGTCAGTGCACCAATTATGTCGTATGATAGTTCTAATTTCTATAGCAATAAGAAATACATTAAAAAATCACTCGCCTCTGTTAACTTACCTGACTTCAAAAAAATATCCAGGGTTAAAGATAAATTCTAGCGTTGTTTTATATAAAAGGAATTAAAATGCCTACATTAAGTTTTTTAAATTAAAATTTTTGGTGTATGTATAGTACAATCATCTTTTCTTCTTCTCTACTCTATAAGAATCTAAATAGAAATTGGTAATGTATTAAGAACACAGCATATTATAAACCAGCACAATTTAACCCAGCATAGTCTAAACCAAGAACAATTTAAACCAAATACAGTTCAAACCAGTACAGTGTAAGCCAGCATAGTCCAAACCATGTACAACCCTAACCGACAATAATAATATTCTTTATCAATATTTAGTAGAATACACTACTAAATACTGGTAGTAGTAGTAGCAAGTAGTGTATTATTTTACTTAACAGAATAATGATAACTGATAAGTAAGAAATGGACAGCCGAAAATAATACACTGTTTCATTATTATATTAGTATGTAGTTAGCCAAATTAAAAATTCAATTGCACATTTTTTAATAAATTATGGCTTTTCATAATTATAACAAAAAAAAAAAAATAGTTAAATTGTTGTTGCTATTTAAAAAACCAAAAGTTGCTATCAAAAATACTAGGGTGGTAAGGCTAAACACAAAAGAAGTATGAAAAATTAAGATCACGTTGTATAAAAACACTATGAAAAAACCATTATTACATTTCTTATTAAACCCTATGAGATATTAAGTGGATTACGTTAAAATGATCATTCTGTAAATAAGTTGGTTCAGACTTAGTTTTAAATTCTAAAACTACGCTTGAAAAAATTAAGAGTTTTCAACTCGTAGTCACCTCTTAAAGTTAAATAAGATGAATTTCTAATCACTATTCTTCGTTTTTCTCATAAATGAATACAATGCAGAATGCGTTTAAATTTTAGCTTTTGTAATTATAAATCTAAACAATAAAATAATATGTATGAGCGCGACATTTGGTCGCATATTATTAAATTAACAACACAATTAAAAATCCAGCCGTAAAAGGAATGATGCTGTATTAATAATACAATGAACACGCTATACGGCGGGTAATTGTTATAATATTTAATTTGTGTAATTAAAAAAAAATCTATGCGTTTAATTAATATGAGGGAGAGTATAAATAATAATTTATACATCTTTGTTGTTGACGAACGATTTAATTACATGTTTTTTGTGTAAACTAGCCGTTCGGGGTGGACATAATTAATGTGATGTGATCATTTATACATATTTTATAATCCGAACATTATTAATAACGGTGTATTGGTTACCCGGTAAGTGTTAACATGCATCACTGTATGTAAATGAGCTATTGAAATCGTGAAGAATACGAGACAGGTTCCATAATAGACAGGTCGGTCTGTGTATTTGTTTTAATCGAACAGCGGTGTTTCTGTAAATCATTTTTTTTTCATAGTTAAAGCAGAAATATAAATATATATTATGTGTTTATATAATTAATTCGTACAACTGCTTATAAACACATTTATAAACACAATGTATATTGTGCACTAGAGCAGACGTGGTGTCGGTATAATTGAATGCTTTGTTCAGTGCTAAACCGGCCGTGACTTACCATTTTCTCAATAATAATTATAATTGGGATTTTTTTTTTGTGTAAAGTCGTGTTCCCATTTAATCTATCCATATTTTTTTTTATCTAGTATTTGACCTATTTGAAAAAAAATTATTCACACGATCTATAGGACTTTTGGATAAATTACACCATCAATCAATAACGCACACAACACAAAGCCGTTTAATTAATAAATAGGTCTTATGTTATAATGTCGCGTTACGTTTCTTATATTATATTGAAATGCAACTAAAAAAAGTAGCGATGATCTTTAACTTATAAATATGTCAACAAATCTTTTTAAACGGGTATATTACAAAATATATAAAATTGTATATAACTCATATTATTTTATAAATGTTTCATTTTTAGATATCATATTAGTGATGTTTAATGTTATTCTTGTTATTTTCATAAACAGTATCCCAACAATATGTATTCAAATGCTTATAAAACACATTAATTGTTAACATATGAACAAGTGACATTTATTTTCATCCATAGAAAATCAACAATTTTTATGTATATTCGATTTTTAGGATATTATTTTAAAATATTATTAAGCTTCGGTTGATAGGAGACCCATCTTTCAAATTGCGCTTTAAAGTGTTTTTCGTGTATCTTCGTGCAAATTTGGTTGATTGTGAAAACCTCGTCGCTTTCAATTTCCATTTTTCTTCTTTGATCTCTCTATCTGTTTTACAATATTGCACGGGTTTTTTTAAGTATAACATTATAACATTCTTGATGTAAACAAAATAAAAACCGTCGGCACGTTATTTTATGATGTATTTTCCTTAGTCATGCGTGTAGCTGCGCAGCTGTGGCCACAAACAGTAATAATTATAATATATAATTGTTACCACAACAATAACGACATAAATAATAATATAATGTTATGTTAATCAAACGGCGGACCTTGACCCGTAGCTTACAAATCTTATGTGCGCAGGGAATCGTGATACTGTGAAGAGTACAAACCGACGATGGCGCTACCCACGCTGACAGAGCTCGTTCCCTCCTTTGCCGGTCTGATTGGCGCCTAACTTGAAATTTCGGGTGCCGTTGTACTCATTACATCTACGGTCCACTCGTCGTGAGACGGCAAGTTCACTTTCGTTTTGTTTCCTTTTTAAACCCCAAAACTAACGTTACACTAAACGGCTATTCAACGCGTCAAAATGATAAATATTCATTTGAACACATATCAGCAGCAGCAGCAGCTGTGGGCAGCACCTAATTGTGTTCTTGGGAAAATTGTACCCACAAAAACTAACAATTATTCCAGTCAAGTCTAAGTATCAAAAAACAATATCTGTCTATGTATTCGGTCGTGTTTTATGCCTATTTCGAATAATTTCTTTTAAAGTTAATAAACGATAAACACTTAGCGCAATAGACGAGAAGCTCGGTTGAGTAATGCTTGCAGAGAAAAATAATACTCCAATCCGCACAAAAAACTTTTTAATAAAGAAAATTATTATAAAATAACGCATGTCTCTCGAAATGTCTTCTGCTACATAAACTCGAAATTTGATACGATAAACGAATACAGTTTTGTATTGTATTTTCATTTTCAGTAATTTTTGGTCGTATTTCACATATTTATAACGGCAATTTTACGAATAACGCGGATAGGAAGAGCCACCCTAAATCGTTTGAAACATCTGCCAAAGCGTGTTACGCGTAACTAATGATTGTATCCATTCACCACCGGTAGCTTTACCAAGGTGCATCGCCAATACAACAATACAATTGTATGACTATATTTTATATAGGTTGACCAGGTTGCACATTTATTTTAATTTTTTACCGGAAAGAAGAGAGTCTCTTTTAACAACAGCTATTTAACGCGTTTGATTGATGATTAGAATAAAGTCACAACACCATATAACGAGTTTACAAAATATCGTTCGATTTAATATACTACTTTATACTTGGATTGGCATGGAAAATCTCAGGTTCAAGCAGCGACAAACACAGCCCCGTGTTAATGGATTTCTAAGAACATTGCTCATTGTCTAAATACTAATTTTTTAACGTTTTTTTTTTGTTTTACCTAATAGGATCTGCATCGAATGCATATAATATAGAATAATATTGATTACATTGGCAGGATTGCAACTTAAACGACTATAACGATTATTGTTATGTGCAGTGTGATGCGTTTTCGATTATGATTATTAACGCCAGACTTTTCCGTCGTGGCCGTCAGGCGTAATTGGCTGTTGCTCAGAGTCGAAACTAATTAATAACCGATGGCGGTAAAGATGTGTTCGTGTATATTATATATACATAATAATATGTAATATATCATCCATATATTATACAACAGTGTGTACACTGATATATACATATAATTAACTGTTATTATGATTTAGTAAGGCGTTGCGGACGTCACCTCAAAGTGATAATATACATAAAAAAAAAACTATGCGCTGCAGCAGAGTATACATAGTTTTGGCCGGCACTATTAACGTTTAATTAAAACTGTCATGCTTTTACTTTAATACCGTTTAAGACCATCGGCGTGTGTTCGTGTATGAGCGTTTAACAAAAACGATAATAATAAATTAAAATTTACTTTTTTTTATAATCGTATACCTCGGCCGACAAAATAAATGATGTACTCCTCCTCCACCTCCTCCCCCTTATCGTGCATTTCAACTGGATTATACTAGGTGAATATTGTTGTTTTTTTTGTCCCTATACGATACACAATATTATTATCAAATGTACCTACCAGACCACATCCAAAAAAAAAAAAGTGACAACCGAAAATCGTGAAACAGTGTTGTTTTACGCTCACCGCAATTCAAACGCTGTAATGATATTATTAAATCGCTATAAAATATGAGAATATAATTGTGAAATAGCGGTGGTGGGTCTATGTGTAATTTAATTACCAATTAATTGACCGTTATACCATTGAACGTTCAGGCGGACAGACGGGCAAATACACTAATATCTATGAGGCGAAGAGATGAAATTAATTCCCCTGTAAATTATGCATATATTATATCATTATATATAACAAATTCATTTAGTATGTTACAATGTGCTCGGAGCGGTGTGGCGGTCCGAAAACATCATATTTTAATAAATTAATATATTTGTGTTTGTGTTGGGCGTTAAGTGGCCAGTTTAAACTTCTGATATGAGCTACGATTTGACACAAAGCTGGGTCTAGGTTCAGTGCATACGAATTTAGGACACGCTGTCTAAAACGACTAGAGACGATTTTCGCTGATACCTTAATGATTGTCCGTTCTTAATTTTTTAAAAACGTCAAATGCCACTTTCCTTACGACTATCTCGGGTTTTTCTTGTTTCATTTAAAGAATTTCCACATGCAATTTTTTGTTTATATCGGTTCAAGGTAAGTCGTATGGTAAAATACATTAATAATAATAGTACTACATGTTTTTTTAAATCCATAACATTGGCTAATTATTATGCAGTACGAGCCACCTATGATTTCTAATATCGATAGACCGTGTTTATTGGGCAATGATGGTATGAATTCTTACACAATCATTATTGCCAATATCTGACTACCTTCATTTCTGCAGGTCTGTATTATAAAGTATGCTTACGAGTGTCTACCGTGGTGTTCATAATAACTATCAAATGTATTATTGACGGAATACTCCCTTTTATTGTCTTTACGTTTATTCGTTGCAAAATATGTATACTATTATTAAAATTTAGTCCGTTTCAAATATTTTTGCAAGATAATTTTTCCACGCTCAAGGACATGAGTTTATAGTTTTTAGATTTATTAAGTTAAAAGTTATTTTAAAAACAATACGCTAGTTAAGTTTACAGCTAAAAGTTAACACTGACATTAATATTTTATATTTATTTGTCTTGGATTACTAGATTATAGATTTTTTCAAAACGTTTAAGATTTTTAGTAAAAAAAAAAACCTAAGCATAAAAATTATTAGTGGGTTTTTTAATTTATTTTTTATTTTAAATATTGACATGAATTACAGCTGTTACTCCTATATTTTTTAAAATTAGTAGAACAAGATTGCGAACGTTTTTATCTTGTAACTTACATGCTACGTTGCCGTATAGATAATTTATATTATCGATGGCTTTATTTAAGCTAAAATAGCTAAAAAAAGAACAACAAAATTTTTAGTTGTCGACAAGTATAATAAAGTTATTTAGAAAAACTTTTAAAGTTATTAGAAACAAAAGTTAACGACGGGAGGATGGGTGGAGTGGCATTATCATTCTCTTTGTGCGAATTACTCAACCACACTCCACCTCACGTCCTAAATTTAAACTATAATAATGGGAAAAGTCATTACTCAAAATTAGTTAAAATTTTCAGCAAATTATTCTTAATTTTCTCCCACTATACTGCGTTCTGACTGTGCTGGTTTTTTTCATCTTGAAATTGGTGGAACAGGCGCCTCGGTAAGGTGATTTAGCGGAATAATTTAGTTCATTTTAATATAATATAATACATTTTGGTAACAACTAATTCAATAATTAACGTGACTTTCGTGTAAAGCTGTAAATTAAAATATAAATAAATACATTTATAACTGGTTTTGATAATTTTGACAAATTTGAATTTTATAATATAAAAATAACCGTTTTTCTTAAGTTTTCTTCAATTAATTTGCTAACGTAGGTTTATATTTTATTTTACATAATCCATCGACATCCGACTTGTACATAAAATAGCTTTTTTACTATAGTTAAGTTTCACTTGGAACCGGAGGGTCCCAGTTCCGGAACACGTTTATTTCATTCGAGACATATTATGTAAACAACGGGGCTTACCATATAAATTACCGTTACTCATTAAAGTAAAATGTTTAACATTTAACATAGCAATTTGTTTGGGGTGCCCCTTTTAAATTTTAGTTCCACAACCTAGTTTTTTCTTGACCCAGGCCTGATCAATGTTACGGTTCAATGGAAAATATGTCAATCGATGTATGGACTATGGTCTACGTCCACGTAATAGAAAATAATAAATTTATATATTATATTACTAGATATTGAGCCTTGGAGTAAAAAACCCGAAAATAGTGTTGCAGGTAAAATGTTGTTACGTGCGAACGGGTCGTTAATGATAAATAATTTATTAACATCTTGTCGCAAAAACTATACAAATACATTTAGGTACATATAATAATTCAAACTGTCCGTACAATGTAGTGGACATATTATAATAGTAACATAGTGATATTAATATAATATCGCTGTATCGACTACAGACAAAAATCGTATAGACCATAATAATATTATTATGACAATAATATTATAAAAGATACAGCCTGAATCTTATTGACCGGTAGCGTGTCATCGTTTCGTGTTCGACGGCAATTATTATTATTCAGACAAAGTCAATAAAAAAGATTCCGTGTAAAAAGTAACACATAATATAATTTAATATATCTTATGATATGGAGGAATTTGAAATTTGTTCATGCATGGTGTGAGAAGAGAAAATAAAAATCATTCTTATGGCGACGGCGGCTAGTATGATTTCACAGACCCCATAAGAGACCGGTCTAAGAGACCTGCTGCCGGTCGCAATGCCAAATGGTGATTTACAGTGCGGCTAACATAGGCTGACACGTCGTTTGTCATCGAACAGCGAAAATCATAATATTATTTTAATGTATCTGTGACGGTCAAACACCCGGTAGGCCAATCGTGTCCGCAAACATCAGCTCAGCCCAGCAACCCTTGTGAGGTATATAAAATATTATATTATGTGTGTGCCTTCCTATTTACTATTCGTCCATTTGGCCAAGTGAAGTAAATGCGTAAGAAAAGTGGAATTTTTTACACCAACCAAGGACACCCGACCCAGAGACATCCGCTCAAGATAATGCATTGAAAATCTGAACTAAATATAAATCAGTATAAATGCTTTCATTATTAATTTAGGCCAGCCGTAACCAATATTGTGTTCATGGGTTGAGAGATTGTTCGATAATAACAATATAATACAGCTGATAAAACTTTATGAACCAATAATAATCTGTTGAGTATACTTCCAAAATTTGTCAAGTACCATTTTTTTCTAATCCAAGTAAAAAATTTAAACCGCTGCTACAAAATAGGTAAACATAATTGTATTATTTAGCCTAAATAAAAAACATTTCAAATTCGAATATCCGGATACAGATGTATCACTAATAATTGCCGAAAGGGGACATGTCCATGAAACAGATTTCACAAGACGGCCAAAAAACTGTCTAGACAAGGCTGGGAAGGAACTAGTTGTAACAAAATATGACCTTATTACTAACTTTTATAAGCAATTTTTCTTGATATTTCCCAAAAATAAATATGAGTATGACATTGCCATTGACTGTCATTTTTGAATTAATGGTCATGTCCCCTTTCTGCAATTAACTATTTTAGATTGCATTCAAAACACAGAGATTATAATAAAAACAGGTTTTTAATCAAAACTCAATGTAAATAATGTTTAAGACAATGTCTAGAATGATGTATTGTAAAAAAATATTGGTGTTTAATATACTCATACGTTGAGAAATTTAGAGCAGAAATAGGACATGTCCTGGACAATGTACATGGCTGAAATTTTTCATTACTGTTTGATGGACATGATATTCTTACGCAGGATATTAGTAGTAGAAAATAGAAATCTGGCGATAACCCAATTCCATCAAAAAGTTAGACATTTTCCTTTTCTGAAATTATTAGTGACTGAGTTGATCCGAATAACCCAGATTCCTGAAATCCAAAAAATCCCAACATTTGTGTAAAAAAACAATATTTATTAAGCGATTTGACTTCTTCTTCAAAATGTGATTTTTTTGAAAATATTTTTGTTGGTTAATTTATAATATTATAAAAAATATCAAATCTATCAAGCACCATCCCCAGTAGATAATTCTCAATTTTAAAGTTAAACACATTGGTAACATTAATATTCTAAGAAGGGGACTTCAAAATATAAAAAACAGGTTAACATTTGGAAATTTTATAAAACTATAAAATAATACAAATGAAGCACTTTCAAAAAACTATAGAACTGTAATGATAGTGTTTTCTTTTAGAAAATATGTGATTATTTGTTGGGTTTACAACAAAAAATAAAGAACTAAAATTACCATATTATTACTCAATACAATCATAATAAAATTATAGTTTATGCGATACTAATAATATAGCCGTGAAAAATTCAAAACACTAATTGTTTAAATAATTATTATGGTAAAACTATAGACGCATTCAAATAAGTCAACTTGGAGTCGCATAAAACCTTTATGCGCGTCTTTATGGTTATGTTCGTAACTTATCGATTAATATATATTTTTTATATATTTTATTATTTATTTACCATTAAAAATATAATAAAAAATAATATAACTTTGAGAATTTCAAGGTAATACCGTCTCACCGGCATTCGTTTAATTATTATTATGAGAATTCGCTTGCGCAACTCGATAGGTTTTCGTCGCGATAAACGATCAAATAAAAAATGATTTTATTTTAATATTTTACATCGTGGACGGTCATAATTATTAATAACATTTTGTTGTTATTATTATTATACAAACGGGCAGTTTAGAGTGTTTATACTTAACTACTGGAGCGACAAGACGGTAGTAAAGTGTAAAATTAATATTTATAAAATAGTTTTTGATCATGAACAGTCAGATTTTCTCTGTATTTTAAAATATATATATATGTTAGATTACACATATTTACTATTTTTTTGTTGTTGTGCTAATAGGCTTACGGATAACAATAATTAATACTGATGGACAGTCGTGTTATTTCTTATTGAATGGTCATTTCAATTTTTTTTTTAGGTATTCTTTGCTTCTTCACAGGTTTAGTTTGCAGTCCGTTTCATTCGGCAAGGTAAATACCACGGGACAAAATATAATTCTATGTACCGCGGTATTGTAATAATATTTATGATAATAATGGCGGCTTAAATTAGCTACCAAAATAAGAAGAAAATGAAAAAAAAAAGGAGATGATGGAAAAAAACCACCTAGTTTTTGTGGTCGGACCCAGGCGGGTTTTTAGTTTATTGTCAAGTCGACCCCACGCTATTATCATTATTATTATTATTATATAGGTATATGTAGAGAACTCCTCTGCACGAGTAAAACCTTAATATCCTTTGTGGTTTGCCGATGGCAGCGGCATTAACAGTTTCACACTGATTCCTAATCAATTGTGCGTTATTGATTGTTATTGTGTGAGTGTGCGGCTTTGGCGAAGCGTTTTTTCTCCAGGTAACACAATATATATATATATACATATATCATAGGCATAATAATGGAAATAATATAATAATAATAATATGATCATTTTATTCCTTGGCCACGTCTGCGGTGGCAATGCCACTGCCGCAAAACGCGGTCCGCTGTATTTTTCTTCAATTTCTTCTTTTTTTTTTTTTCAATTAACATCCATCGCTCCTTTACACTTAACGCCCTCTTGTGCCACCTGTGTATTGGGTACATATATTGTATCCGAACCCCGAGAGGAAATTGTAGATGTGCGACATCGAATCGGTTTTAAATTACAGCCCCGCTTGGCGTTATACACAAAATCCATTATTGCCACCGGGTCGTTTCCGGAACAAAATGACACGCTTATTAACACTCGTGTATAATATAGTATATACACCATGTACCTAGTGTGTTACATTGAGTATTTCGTTATTCACGCTTAGTCCTACCTACATAATATCTTTGCATCTCGGAATTGTTTTTCCCTTTAGTACCCGGCAAAAAAAAATCCCTTCCTGATTTCTAAGCTCTGGCCTACGCGTTGGTATAAAATGAAGTTGGTAATTATTTATTTTATTTAGACTTTGTAATAAGTACTACTAATAATACTTCGATAATTTAACATTAATGGATATACACAACAATTCTAGATGATTTTGAACGTCGCGACACGCTTTATAGATTTTGAATACAAAAATTGTTTGAGAAAATATTTAACAAATGTGATTACTAGTTACTACTTAATACTATATTACTAAACATTGGAAAACGATCACAACTATCATTGGTTAACTTTGCCAGTGTGAACAATAATAATAATAATACGTGTACTATGGCATGGTTTTTTTGACTGTCATCATTTTAGTATGGCAGAAACTAGGTATGTTTTTGTGTGTACAAAACGCATCAATTTCCTACCCATAAGTCCATAATGTAGAGTTGATTTCGCAACGTCTAGCTGATGGCTGATGAATAATTGATTTCCACCAACAGAATTGCTCGCGTGCAGCTCGACCGGCCAATTTCAGGGAGAGCGTTCGAGAAAGGGAGAATAAAAATATATAACCATTACACGGCATGAAACCCGAGCGATTTGTATTAGCTATACTATATTATGCAATTACACGGGTAGGAAATAATCATCGAGCTGTCGTCCTGTCAGGACGCAATGGAGTTTCGACGAAAAATTAAACGAATGCCAGCGCTCTGGTGGCCGACACAGTTTTCCCGTGTAACAGTAATCAACATTTTTCGTTCACCTACGGCCTAAGTATATATAGATACATATTGTATACGGCAATATTTAATATATAATATATTATATAGTTAGGCCGACGAATGTCGTATACGATATTAAATTATATTGTTTTACTTTTGTTGTCTGAAAGCGCATCGTATAGGTACGAGACGTAACATAAATGATAGTAAACCAGTTTGAACGCGCTCGGGTACGCCTTCAATTTATTTCCAAGCCCCCCCAAGTCAAAATCAATCGGTAATAATATAACAGTTACACAAGTCAATGGAAGAACATAGCCGTCCGAACTATACACATTGTGTACCAAGTGTGGTATATACCAATACTAAATATGTTGTAAAACTAAAATATAGCGCACGTTATAACCCTCGTCCACGGTATAATAACATAATATATGTACAAGCCATGTCCAATCAGTCGCAGTCTATAAAAATCAACAGGCACAACAGCTGATATCTTAGTTTTGAAAACTATACGCCATCGTCTGCGGTACACAAATCGGTAATCATTCCTAAAGTCTTAGGTCGCCAGACCTCAACAATAACAATATATTATACCATACGCTAAACTCAAATGTCTAATGTCTACCTCATAAACTATGATAGTTCATACCGCGTTTTCAGAGATAGTCTTTACTTCTATTGGAGGCAAACGAAGGGCATTTTAGAACTTGAGTTAAAAAATGTCAACAGCCTCGAGAAGAGTCAATAGTCATTGATCCTATTGATAGTTTTGTATCCCTAAAGTCTTTAAAACGTTTGTATCTTTTGAATGGAAAATAATTAATTCGTTTCAGACAAAAAGTATACTTAACAAATATATTATTGTCTACTTTAAAGGAGCTAGTCATGAGGGTGTAACAGAACGTGTACACAGACATTTCGTACAAGTACATTTTATGTACATACATCTGTAAAATGTTTTTGAAGTTTTTTTGACGGTTTCGAGTTTTGGGTTACGTTAGGTTCAAGTATTGTTGAATACGGCAAATTTTCACGCGAAGCATAATTTTTCAAGCACGATAGCTGTTGAGTCGTTTACTGGTTCGTTTGTATTCGTTCGAACGCGTTGGCGATATGTTTCTTACGATTGTAAACCTTAGCATAATTAATCACCGGCTGCGTACATTATTTTATTTTTACTTAACTCGTAAACAATATTAATTGTATTCATGGATATTTTTTTTTTATTGCCAGTTTCCCAGTGATAAACGGTCCGATGTCAACAGGGTTGTACCTGATCGCCAATCCGAGAAGCTCATATATGGAGATACCTACGTCATCGGCTTGAAATGAAAAAGGTGTTTTAACAAATTATTAAATTGTATAATGCGTATAATATTATATATTTGTGGATAATTATCGGTAATGACGTCAACCGCGGTTGCGGTTTACATATTAAGCTCTCGCCTGGCCTTTGGCCAATGTAAACCACCCAATGGCGTCGGCAGGCGCCGCGTTGGTATTTCCGAATATTGTTATATTATATTTTATCACACACGGAGGGCGTTTTATTAAACGCATTCCACCGCGGTACGTTGTGTGCAGTGTGTGTGAGATTATTATGATTGTTGTTACCAGCAGCCTGAATAGGCGGAGAGCGGGCAGCGGCCGGCCGAGGGATGAAAAAAACCTAGTGGACAATAATAATAATAATGATAATAATATATAATACCGTAAGTAGGTACACCGCGGTAACAACCGTGAATCCGAATCTTTTTTTTTTTTAAAACGATAGTGTCATACTGTGTGGCGATCGCAATTTATTTCTCCCCCACTCCGAGAGGTGTACATAAATAAGCTATAAATTAAACGGTCCTTACGCTGCTCGTCCGTGTGATCGGCTAAAGGTGTTTTTTTATTATTATTATTATTATTTTTTTTTTTGTAGTTGTTGGTTTAGTTCCAGACCAACTAACACGTCACTGACGTGCATGGGCTACAATAAAATAGCGTATAGGTACAACGGGGCCGCTCTCAATACGGCGGCGAATTTCCGCGCCGTTATCTGATAATATATTTGGCATTTTTCGTACTGGAACATATTTTCCACATTAGACACAGTCGGCGGCAAAATAGGTACCTATCGCGTCTGTAAAAATTCGCTACATTTTTGTAACCGCACGATTTCAATTACACGGTGGTGTACTACATTAGCCAAGCCGTGTGTATAGATAGAGATACGAATATTTATAAGAACCGCCGTTTATCGTCGTCCAAAATTATTGTTTTTCCGCTCGTAATAGTTTTGCGGAAACTACATTAACACTGTATCTAACACCTAACATTACCGTCAGTGGACGAGAAACAAATGATAAGAGATCAGTGACGAATGGAAAGTAGGGTAGAAGTTTGTATACATAGGGAGAGAGAGGAGAAAAATAAACAGTACCATTACACATGAACGTCGACCTCCGTATGAGAAATATTAGCATTTTAATGTTGTGGAATTCTCGAATGAAAAAACTTAGGGTAGTTTGCTTGCATCAACGATACAATATTTACGTGCAACTATTAATTCAGTACTTTTAAATCACTTTTTTTCTGAGCCAAATTACATAATTTAGTAAAACAAACTACATAGTATTTTATTGGGAATTTTATAACACACTATTTTTTTTTCCAACAAAAAAGATGTTTATTTAAGTATAAGTTTTATACAAAACAATTTTATAATTAACCATCAGAAATAATTTTTATTAAAAATACATCATTAAAATTTAGATATGGTAGCTTTTAACACTACCCTTAATTAGCGAGCGTCCCAAGATGTAAATTTTGAGAAAGCTACAAGTTCTAGAAAATTTTTTGAATTTTAATAAAACGATAATCTAAATTCTATAAAATAAAAAATATTTAAATTCTAAGATTATTTTTCAATCCAAAAATGTTATTTTAAAATTCTAAAGTCCATTTTTTTTTTACAACTTCTCGGGACAGACAAAAACCATACAACTCTTGAAGTACCTATTCAATATGATTAAATTTCGATAATTGTATATTAGCCGTTTAGCCAGACATATTAATCGCGCAACTTATCATAATGACAAGTCCAGGGTACCATAGGGTTTCTTGATACGTTGACTTATGGAAATTCGGTCTTTGTCCTCGCGTTTTGTAGGTGGCGCTCGGCGATAAAACACAAGCCCATATACAATAACGCGTACACATACTTTATTATACTCCTAGTGGGTGTCTGAACGTCTGACGCGATTGCACATGTTTTTTTTTTTTAATAAAAAAATATATAATATGATTTCTATTATTCCCACAGCACAAATCTCGCCCCTCCACGCACGCGCGTACGCTGACGTCAGGAGACTGACAACTGCAGCAATATTATACATTGTACAATAATAATATAAGACGTGCACACTGCACATATCGGGCAATTGACTTGTCTTCTGCGAATCTCGTGGCACACACGGTTATACAAGGGGCTCGAGGGTGTGAGTTTCGGGATAGCCCGCGTATAGTAAATATAGTATATTATGTAGTGTATATATATATATATATATTATATATATAATAGGTAGGACATACACCGGTAGATCCGTTGCCGGTGTGTGTGTGTGTGTGCTGGAGGTGCCGGTGGTGGCGATACGATAACGGTGGGTGGTCTTGGCCGCAGCGGGTCGTCCTATTGTTGTCAGTGCCGTTTTCGAAAAACGCCGGTACCGCTGCCGCAGATCCAAAAAAAGGAAAAAATGTAAAAAAAAAAAAAGCGTAGTTATACTTAAATACAGGGTGTTTCGATGGCCGGTGTCTGTAACGGCCGAGTGCGACTCACCCGAACGGTTGACCGACGGGCTCCATAGCGTATGCTCACCCTGTAAGTCGCAGTTTCTACCCCCTCGTCGGCCGGAATTTTGTTGTTTTTATTTTTTATTTTTTTTACAGACCGACAGCCGTATTATTCATCACGTTATAATAACAATAACAATATTATTATTATAATAACGCGATATTATTACATATTCCCTTCATTATCATATTAATTTACGAGCGATTTCGTCGGCCCCGTGTATTCACCGGCCGTTATCTTGACAAGCGCATCTTTACGGCGTCCCCCCCCTACCGTTTACCCCTCTTCCATACACCTACCCTCTCTCTGTCAAAGCAGTCGCTGTGGGGTCGCTGACGGTCAGCCGACAGACTCGTGTTTAAATTACGTTCGCCCGTCACATACATATAACGTGTACACGCTCCTGAATTTATAATTTTACCCTTTAGCTTGGAAAAAAAAAAAATTATATATATATATATTAATAATAATAATATTATGAAAACGGTTAGACGATAATTATGCATTAGTTATTGCCGTGCACGATTACTGTATTTATTAGATTTTCAAGTATATAATATTATTAAATATTATACTATATTTAATTTACTGCGGTAGGCAAAGCGTATCCTGTGCCGACGGGCCCGGAGTAGATTATAATAATTATATTATAACGTTTCAATAGTACAATTATTAATTCAGGAACCCTTAAACCAGCTATGTCAGCGTCTAGACCGAATTTATACAGTAAATTCACTTACCTACCCTCAACTTGTCCACAAAAAGTCTGTTCGCATAATTCAATATTGGAAATCTAAAATAACTAATGTGGCTCTTGTAATAATATTTGTATCAAGTGATTTTTTTAACGTGCTACACTAGTAATTTTTGTTATTTCGCAGCATTCATAAAATTACTAAACATTTACCTTTTTAGTATTTTCTGGAGGCCCGTCAACTTCTGAATTTTTAATTTGCTGTAAATTTAAACTATTTTGAATAATTACTAATTAAGTTGTTGTAGTTGGAAATACAAGACGGCCTATGGAGTGCGGTAAAAATAATACTTCACTTCACCCATTCCCCCGTCCTAAACTTTAAGCTTCAATAACTTTAAGAGTAATTATTCACATCTGGTAGGTAAGGAAACATTTACTTATACATATTTGGGGAACATAGCTAGAAAAATTTAGGGAGTAGGTTAATTATTGAATCCTATTTAATTATATTACAAATTTTAAGCTCTTCCCTCTACACATGCAACCAATGGAAACATATTGTACAGTTGTTTTATACAGACATCAGCGCCTAAGGTCTAGAAAAAAATACACAGCCTTTGGCTCTTATTAGAGAAAAAATAATATAAATTTATCATATTTAACTTAATTAATGTATTTCAATTTATAATATTATTTCGATTGAATAGAAAATATTATGAAAAATAAATAAACTATGCATCGAGTAACTTTTGAAGGAAAATACAACTTTTTGGCACACAAAAATGTAAACCAATATTAATATCAATCGTATGCACGTGTTATTGTACTGAATACATTTAAATGTACTGTGTAATCAATGAAGTACATAATTAAAAAAGACCTTCAATGTAGATCGCGGTTTCAATAATATTAAACTATTGATTTATTGGAATTACCATAAACCCGTGTACACGATTTAATTTCATTTTCCTTGTGGTTGTAAAATAGATATATTATATTGTTATAGCTTTATCAATTTTATTTTATTTTTATAGTTTTTGTATTTGTTAATAACTCTGAATTCTAGTGTATTCTTTCCAAAAAAAAAAAAAATAATAATAATAATAATCATAATTTTTGTAGGTGTATTAATAATTGTAAACGGGGAAGTTTCTTTTAGTCTCAGAACACCTTAAAAAAGTGTTTTCTACTCATGGTACAATACAGCGTATAGGGGAACAATAACCTAAACGTCAAAATGTATGTAAATCTAAACGGTTGTACACACAACACGTTGTATTCTATATGACTATATGTTTTCTATCGAGCGTCAGGTTGTAAATCAAAGCGACCCCCTCAACGTGTCTGTGTTCTCAGGGTTCGTTAATCAATGACACGAGTTAACCTGTGGATAATTCGGTTTTTTTTTTACAGCAGCTCCCAATTGTAATATTTAAATATTTTCCAGAGTCCGTGAATCATATTGTGTATAGTGTATTACAATATTTACTACACCGTACACCACAAAGTAAATAAACTATATTATCTTTTCATTAGCTTTGGTATTCCTATAGAGTTTGCATTTAAACGTACACTGTATATTTACACATAAATATATAATATTTTGATTGATTTTTTTTTTTAATGCGTTTATCAAGTCCAGATGGTAGTAGCGACTGGAAATAATTTAAACAAACATACCTAATAATCCATCGAAACGTGACGAGTTGTATACTGCATACGTTATTTGTATTAAACATATTTTCTTGTTTCCTGTACAAGCGATGTACATGAAATACCATCGACAAAACGGCCAATTTACACATCTTAGGAACGCTGTTCAGGTAAAACCGCTGTTGTACTGTTTCCCTTTTTTTACGTTTCCGAATCCCGTCTGCAAATATAATATATCAAAAAAATAATATTATGTTCTCAATTCTCATAATAACAATATTATAATTACAATAATTATCCAAAAATTTAAAAAACAAAAAACACTCAACGCCGCCGTTGCTGGTACAGAGATTAAAGTTTTTAATAATGTTTGTAGGCTATTAAAAAAAAAAAAATGTTTAAACTATTTTTTGTCTTAAAAGGATTTTGGTTATTATATTAATATATCTATATCTATATATTTTTTTTTTACTAGGATTTTGTATGTACAATTTATCTTTACGGTTATATGGATAATTAATAAACAATAAAAATAAAATAAGAACATTGATACAACAATGCTTAAATATAACCGTTGAGTATTTTTTGTACAATATATACTCAATGATATAATTAAATATTATATCGAAAAGCCAGCCTCAGTAATGAAGGAAATATGTGTATAATAGGAAATTCGGAATTGGAATTAAGCATAGAATAGAGAGTAAAAGGAATGTTTGAGTATCTTAGAAAATTAGCTAAATATCACGTTTAGAGGACAAGGAGGGAAAATCAAGAAGTATATGCGGAAGATCACCAATACTCTTTTTGATGTGAAATGAACAAAGAGGAGAGTTGTTCAGGTCTAATTTATAAGCGTGAGAATGTAATAAACGATTAAGCGTATTATCGCTGACCAGGATAAATTTTAATTTATAAACCAAATTTTATTAGGGATGTTGAGGACAATCACTTGAAACCTGGAAGCAAAGTTTGCAGGCAAATAGTCTAATAGACGGACCAAAGATTGAGAAAATTTTGGCAAACCGTCGGCCATCTCATTACTGTGAATCTCTGCATGTCTAGGGACCCAAAAAAACTGAACCATGAAGTTTGATTGATACAGGTGAAAAATAATGGTTTTTATATGTAGAATAATTAGAGATAAATTGGAATAGAAAGGGTTGGATTTAATCATTAGGAGACACGACATGGAATCAGGAGCAATTAAGAACTTATTTGTGGTCATGGAGGAAATTAAGACAGGCGCTTCAGTGATGGAAGTTGGTGATAGCTATAAATTGGCGAATCAGCTGTAAAGGAAGAGGAAGAAGAGGGAACATTAGTGGTAAATTAAATATGTAACAAAAATGAGTAGCCGGCAGATAGAGAGGAGACTAAACAGGGAAATCAGAAAAAGTAAATTTACTACAATAGGAGAGATGGTTTTTAAATTCGCGAAGGAGGAACAAGGCGAATAGGAGGAATATAGAAAAGATATAACTATTTATTTTGTACAATTACTAGAATCTATAATAATAAGTAGGTACTACTTGCGGTCGTTATTGCTATGAAACTTCGAAATCATGCTCACAAACACACACACATATTATGTTACTAGTCCACAGACTAGAGTACGAGGTCAAAGCACTGTACGTGGCTCTCATTTGGCGCCATTATCGTTGAAAAAACATTAATACATGCGCATCGTGCGTCCCGAAGAAAAACAATAGATGCACCCGTGTGATGAGTGTCTCGATCGTTTTGTTTTTCCACTTATTTTTTTATTATTGTTCGATACGAACATCAGTACATCCGCGGCGTTGGGAACCGGAGTTGTGCGTGAATGCCGAATGACTTTGGATGCACACTCTCCACTGGGTTACATACAGCTAGATATCATACGTCTGCTCTGCTGTACTTACAGTGTGTGTGTGTGTGTGTGGCGATGATGGATCAGTGTCGGACCTGTGATTAACACAATGACACAGCCACGGCATTCATCGTAGGCCGATCGCTTGTGTATTACTGTGCCAAGGGAAAACGCACATCACGCACAACTCCACAAAAGCCGGTCCATCGTACAATAGGTATAATAATACAAATGTGTATGTTTGTAGCGTAATAACCGGCAATCGTGGCAGCTGCCCCAGGTTGGGCTGTAGGTATAAGGCGACTTGAAAATTGGAAAATCCGTTTTCGTAGATTAGTTCAGAGACGATAAAACGATTAATTTCAAACATTTTCCAAAGTTTTGTTACTTCGGCTAGGTTAGATTAGGTTAGGTTTGATAGCGCTCTGACAAATACTAAAATAGGTAGGTGTTTGATAATTTTATAACATTGCACAATAACATTGTTATTGTTTTCTTTAAATTAAAGATGTTTAAACCCGTTCAGTTCGTCTTAAAACCGCGTAACGTTACGTGTGACTACATGGTAGGAGCTCTAAAACACAGTGTTAGTTATCAGGACTTATCAGTATTGCTTATACAGTTGAGATCATATTATAGATAAGTGAAGAGGTCTTAGAATGTGTAGACGACTTTTAATTTGCTTACGCTTACTTCTGCGATGAGAACTCAAGGTGACACTTGACTTCTGTTTAGTGATGTTGGAAAGTGTTATTGCACATTATAACCGAAAAATCCTAGGATGAAGAGTGAAAGAGAATTAAGGCGGATTTGTAGTAATTGACTGGCGGTGTGTTATCTGCTTCCTGTTTAATGATTATTTGGCATATTTTTAGTTTTAGATATAAAATTAATTTTATTTGTATTCCCAACAGTTTTATACTTGAAGACTCCTCACGAGAGTCTTCAAAAGTGTTTCACAAACACTAATGGGAATTTCAATCGGAAAATTGTGTTCTCCAAGATCACTTGTACTTCCAAAAAATCTCTAATTCCTACCTGACTTTTCCGATTTGGTTTGTTAGTTATTACAATAACTATAATAAATAAATTAAAAGTATGGAAGTGCCGTTATTGGCTTTATACCTCAACAAGTAAAAAAAAAAATTGCTATCCCTTACAGATAAGTCACAATAATTGTTGTTGTATATTGTTGGTGATAATAAAAACATGATACCATTCACCTAATTACAATTGGTAGCGGACACCCGGGGCTCGAACGGAGGCATTGGGTACCACAATATGGATTTTCTGAGTAGTAAGTGGGTCTTAAACCGTTATTATCGAGCAACAAGTCGTATAATGGGTTTACAATTTATAAGTATACATACATAATAATTGAATAATTGAATACTAATAGTATGGTATAAAAGCACGAGACTAACACTACCCAACTATAATAATTCTTATTGTACACAGTGTATTATTATATGATTGTACCTACGTATTAATCCCATTGTAAATTAAAAACTAAATGTTGCTATAGAATAGTAACGTGAAAATAGATGCTCAATAGTTTTGAGTTGATAAACGATCTAACGAATGACGTCTATAACATACGTAAGGTGTTATTATTATAATTAATGTCTCCACACTTAGCACGTTATAACTGTATGATGGTCGTGTTTAGTATTTTTTGTGAGTCGAATTTTGGTAAAAAATATAACCCATTAACGGTTTCAGTATATTGTACTTTCCTCGTGTACAAAGCTTGCTTAATAATTAATCGACCAAACAGTTAAGGTATATAAAAAAAAGTCTAATAAAACAGGAGTAGGTTAGAAAAATTGTATAAGTTTTCAGCTGGGTTAGGAAACAAACGGTAATAATTTTAAATGTTTGCGAGGAGTCATTTATAGTTACTGATACTGTTGTTGTTGATTTTTGTATGTTTAAGTTTGTATCTGTATTATTATTTGTATCTAAAACGAGCCATATTCAAAATAAAACACTTGTGAACGAACGAGTTCACGAACGATCAACACAACCAAGCGAGGTAGACTAAAACTAACTTAATCGAAACTATTGAATGTTCATAAAAAAACTATTTGTTGCGACAAAATCGTTATTAAAGTAAATCAAAAATGAATTTGTTAAATTTAACAGTGTTTTTGTTCTGTACAGCGAAATGTTTATCTACACCACCGGTAATAAAGATTTTTATATTATTTATTCGCATGGTAAGAAAGATATAGGTACTGTAAATATTTCAAATTTGATAAATTTACCAACGGTTCATATGTTTGATAATTTCCAAGTTTTTGATAACTCAAAAATATTCTAATTAAATTATCAACGATTTTGTCTCTAGCGCTCTGATAAATTAAAACAATCACTTATAAGAGACTCAAGCTAAGTAAAAATGTAATTGACTACAATGGTTTTTTGTTAACCCAGAAATGAGTGTAGGATTATGTCTAACCAATATCATAATTATTATTGTATTATAAAGACTGATAGTTATATTTGAAGCAATCTTCAAACTTAAAACTGTTTTGGAACTATGAAAAAATAAGAACATATACTAAACAAAATGTGACGTAAAGATCTCCAATATACTAGTCCCGCATGTTATAATTATAATTATATAAAAGCATCATATTAGTGTTTCGAAACTCAGACGGATTTTTAAAAGGTTATGATGGATAATTTTGTTTAAACTGTTGTATAATGTTTTTTTTTTCAAATGTAATTTTCGTACCAAGTTTTTACACTATATTTCAAGATAAACTAACATACATTTCAAATCGAAATTTAAAATCTGGACCAAGTAATCTACTTGCTTGTTGAACGTTCTATTACAAAATATAGGTAGTGCATTGCGGTGACCATCAGTTGTACTTAGTGGTTTATTTAAAACCAATTAAAGAAAACAAAAACAATTGTTTTATACTTTATCTAGTGCTTAGGTAATCGAAGCTTCTATTTAAAAATAGTTAACGTCAACTTTTTAATAACTGTTAAAAACCTGCGAATATTTAGTTTATATTTTATGAAAAACAAAAACGTGCATCGTTAAAAATGCTTTGCGAATAAGAATGTTTACAACTCATCGTTATTCTCCTACGCAAAGTACACTATACTTTATATCCATACTAATATCGTTAAATTTATTTTTTAAAGGAAGACGACTGGTTGTCCAGAATCCATTGCGAAACCACTTATGACACTGAATTTGTTGAATTGTTAAATGGATTGAAAACAGTAGAATCGATTAATGGGAAAGGTCCGGTTCACATAGACGAAATGGACAAATCGCTGTTAACCAATCCTTGTTACGGCCGAACTGTGTGCATGAATGTCAAATCATTTTCGATAGAAAAGTATAAGAAAAAAATGGAAGCGTTGCAGTGTGTCAACGGAGTGATAGTTTATTATTTCTTAAACGAAATAAAAAATGTGTTGATAGAAAAAAAGCCGTCCAAGCTCAAAGGTCCTACCGTTTACTTTTATCCAATAAAGATTATGCGTCGGATGCTAGTAGTGTTATATAGGAGCAAAACTTTTGCGCACAATTGGTTGTGGATCATTTTCATTAGATTGCAGGCATGTGTCAGTTGGCCCTACTATTTCTTGCCTGATAACATTTTAGATTTCTCACAACACGAGAAGGATTTATTAAATTACATTCAACTTTGCAGAAATAATAATTACCTACCGAGCAGCGATGTCAGTCCGTCGGATTCAAAAGTCTTCTACGATACAATGGTAGGCCAAGATATTCACGGATACATTAAAAACGTTTACGGAGCGGAGCTCAGTAAAAAAATGCCACTTGTCTTTTATTGGACTTCAATGTTCAAAGTGGACTTTTTGGTTTTAGCCGATTACTTTCACCGCGATACCGACTTGTTCGGTTCGTCTAAAACGGGAAACGTCGTCTGGGGTGCTTCAAAAAAGCTACTTAAGGTTGAAAAGCAAAAACTGGCGGCCGCGTATCGTACGATGGAATGGGTTACGAACCCGTTTGCGTTTATCGAATACCACACTCGAGTGCTGCGCATTATGAAGGCAAATGCTTACTACCACATTTGGTCACACCTGATGTTATTTAGTGTAACTTTAAGCCAGGCAAAAGAACACGCAGGCGGTGTCTTTCAGTTGAGGGTTAGAGATTGCAATATTTGGAAGTCGATGTACTACCAGATAGGAATTGTCGGCCAAGGTTTGTACAGTGACGACCCGGTTTTTTCTAGCGTCGTACAACAGTTGTTTGAAAATCTAAAGAAGTTTGACTTTGAGTTTGTCAACAGATTACATTCCATGACAGAGGCGCTGCAAAGAATTATACACAAAGAATTAACTATGTTAGGTGTCGACGAAAACGATATAATGGACACATTTAATGTTAATTGTTATCTTTATGGAGGAACTTCCGACGGCGACGTCGTGGTGTTCGATGACCCGGTTGTCCAACTTCAGTGGAAAGAAGCGTGTAAGACAGAAATGATTTATCACAATTTGTTACAGTTGGGTGCTAATGAAAACGATGCACGTAGGTTGTTTTACGAAACTTGGACTGTCGAAGATGGTGTGCGATGTTCGGATTGGGAAAAAAACAATAAAAATTCCGCACCGCCAAATATTGATGATAGCGTGCAATATAGAGAACAAGAATCTATGGATACCGAAAAAAATGATAGTCACAACTCTCAGTTGATAGAAAACTCGATTAATCATCAATCGATAGAATACAATATGATAATACACCACACACACCAAGTCATGGTGCATGCTTGGGATCTCCGTTTAAAATTCGCTCCACTCGATTCTTATTATATTTTGTTCTATTCCAATGGAAATCGTGAATTGAATGATACGTTTTTCCCCAATATCTATCGATAGATGTTAATTATTAATTTCCATGTACTGAAATAAAGGTTTAAGCAATATTTTAACAAATTATTATTTACTTATTTGGTGTTTCGGAAAATAGTAATAAAATACTAATGATTTTATTTGTAAAATATTGAAGAAATAATAACTGTTAAGTAATTGGACAATTATTGACACGAAATCATTTTGTTTTCAGAATTACTACAGCGTAACCGCAAAAAATCCATGTTTAGTATAGATGTTTTATTTTGTTATTGTATTTCTGAAGATTGAAACAAAAAAGTTTAATTGTAAGAACATAATTTTTCATAGATATGTTTCAAAATATATTCTTTAATATTATATAAATATTTTTGGCAGCTATAAATATTTTTGTTTTTTGGAATAGTACTAATTTAAATTATAATGAATAAATAAATTATATTTTAATTAATTTAGATATTTATTTGATATTTTCATTTTAATGAACACCTATTAATGAATTTAACGGTAAAAATTGATCCTAGATGGAATAAATCCACATCGGAACATAAGCAGTCGTGTAGTATATTACATGTTGTAATTTGTAATGTTATACCAGTTTAAAAAAATATCGATAAAATGATTGTAATGACATAATGTGCTTAAAAAATACATTTGTAATATTAGGTTTAAAGTACAACTTTGATCATCATAGTATACGATGCATATTTATACCTATTTTTAAATATAATAGTTCACATTTATGCTAGGCTACAAATATTATTTTGAGAAATTAATAAATTATATTTAGTCAAGCAAGAGCTGAATGAAATCCTTAGTTGTTCAGGCTGGGGTCGGGTCTACATGACAATCTTACTCGACTTTTGGCTTAGATTTATTTATACCTGCATAACTAGGAATGATAACATGTGAATTACTAGGGTTTAAATATGAAGGTTCTTAAGAATACACCTAAAAATTGTATGAAAAGGTTGAATGTGTTACAGTACTAATATTTTAAATTTTGAAAGCTGTTGGAGTTATTTGAATTTGTGCCGTTTTTTTTAAAAAAAAAAGAATGATTTTTATTTTTATGCAAAGCGCTTTGTGTAGTCTAATGGCGTCATTAACAAACTTTGGAGAAACAATAGCCATTGTTTTTGAAATAAAACCTATGGTCAGAGATATAATAAAAGCGCCACCCTTTTATAACGACGATTACCTTAAGCGCGGCTAATATAACAATTTTGGTACCTTTGGTAACTCGTTTTACATAACAAAAAAAAAAAAAAGAAGATGTACAGTGGGATCGAGGCATAGTGAGGAGGGGAAAGTCACAGGCTTACAGAAATTATTAAAACTGAAAGTGATAAAATTATTTTCAAATAAACGCTTCGGTGGAAATCTGTGGATAGTAAGAATCCAGTACAGTTTAAACTAAATACAGTCTAATTCAGTATTTAAAACAAACCAAACACAGTAAGAAAGACCCAAAGAAAGGTCCAGTGTTCAATTCTTTGAATCGAAGAGTTTCTTTAAATATAATTTTATCATAATAATAATCCCTGTGATCTCTTAATCTCCACTGCGCCCCGACCTCACTGTACTGGCTTTTCTGTATACGATTTAGACGGGTTTAATCTCAAAATATTATACTTTAGTCAAACCTAGTTGGGTTTGTCTGGACTCTTTTAAAGTTTAACCTGTGCTAGATTTTACTTATTTACTCTGTGCTTAAGCTAATAGTATTTAAGTAAGTTCCTTATTCGGCGAACAAATTGAAAATAATATTTTGATTTTTGGTTGAAAACAAATTCAATAAGTCGTATACTCGAGTATTATTGTCAGTGGCTCTCAAAAAGTTTTGTTGGTATATTTATGTTAGGCCTCCTAAAAAAATCTGTATCTATATTATGCATGTACACATGGTAATGTGAATTACATCCGAATATTTGAAGTACAATAATTGTATTCGTTTGTTTTGAAAATTTAAATTGTTGTTATTTTGTCGATATCTCTGTTGATTAAAAACGTTAAATTCGGTAATGTGATAATAAGAAATAAATGCTTGATGAAATAGGACTTCAAGCTTGTTTTTATAAGTTACATGTTTTATTTTGCCGTTTTAAAAAGCTGCTATACCAATTGCTTTGAATAGTTAACAATAAAAAATAACGTGTTTTTTTGTTTTGTTTGTATAACCCAGCAAAGCAATAAGACCGTATGTTGTTGGTTTGTATTATTTGAACAGTTACAATAGGTACAATTCTCAAAACTTCTACTCATTATAATATTAAAACACAAAAGGTTTATGATTCTGTCATAGGCAGAGCTGGCGACGTTAAATTTAGATAGGTATTATATTTAAACTATAGTTCCAAAGTTCAAGGTTTAATAGATTTGTATTTTTTTAATTAGAAAATACATTAATACTCGTGTAATAATCATTATATACATATTATACACATATTTTCCACGTGCACTTTATTTTTCAAGACAGAAAGGCATATGAAATTATTGATATTTGCCAGATCATCGCATCGTGATGATATTATATTATAATAACCTGTACATATTTTTCATGTTATATTTTAACAAAATGTTTAGGAAAAAAAACAATCAATTGTGCAAAGTTAAAAAAATACTTATTAAATTTTCAGCAATGAACTTAATACTGCGTTTTAAGTATGTTATGTATATTTATACCTTAAATCAATAAATGTTATTAAACAGAAACAACTGTGAACGAATGCGAATCCTTGTATTATGCGTCAGTATTTTAAAGGCAAAAATAAATGTTGAAAAATATTTTCTTAGTAGAAATATATGATTCTGTATGAATAACATTTTCGGGTAATTCAATGTAAGATAACTTTATTTATTATGAACATCGTCTTGCTATTCACAAATATATGTTTTATAACAATCACGTTGGGAAATACAAATGAATGGAATCCATCAAAGGTAATATTTAATCACGGATATTTTTCCAAATCACCATCTCAGTTAGGAATTTTTAAGTTTGGCATTAGCTAAATAATTTGTCTTTTTTTCCTGTGTCTCTTTCGTTGTGGTTTGCATTCTAATGTTACTGTAACGACATCCCTTACTCTCAGCTTCTGTTCAATTTGACAAGTCGTTTTCTAGGCTTCGCCCTTATAGGTTCGGGCAGGTCTAATCATCACTACGCGTACACCTTTACTTTAGTTCTACGAGCAAGTAATTTGGAGCGGGAAATTTTGTTAGTTCTTCTGATTAGCGCGGTCACTATTAATGAGTCCCATGGTTGGGTTTATCAAAATTATTCAATTTTCTTCGCTGCGTTTTTCATTTCTCCAGTCATACTTGCTGTATCCGCTAAAAATCCCCTCGAGATATCTGGGTCATCTGCAAGTCCTAGACATGTATTCTGGCTTATTATTACACCAATTTCGCTTGTCTACTTTCTCCAAGGCAAGGTTGATCAACACCGGGGACAAATCATTACCTTGTTTCAAACCAGTCTCAACTGCGAAAGGGCGTTGATAACGTATTATCTACCTTCACTCTGTATTTCGCTTGTTCCAAACATATTTTAATTATTAAGGTAGTTAATTTTTTTGAGATTATGTTGTGTTTTAAAAGAAGAACATTTGACATCCAAACGTTTTGATACCCAGAGGATATGCTATAAATACAAATTATTGCACTAACCATAAAATAAAGATTACTTTTTAGTATAAAAACAGTAATTAAAGATAGATATAGATTGTACCTAAGTCCTAATATAAGTGCATTCTATTTTTATATTTTATAGACAGATAGTCAGAGAGATTGGGTGACCAGCGAAATCATTTTCGACGCAAAATTTCTTGATGCTATTAATAAATTTAAAACACTAGAAACTGTAGATGACAAAGGACCCGTTGTATTAGATGACACAGATAAAAGCGTGTTGATGAAAAGATGTAAAGCTGACTTGAATTGCATGCAGACAAAATCGTTATCAATAAAAAAGTATAAAATAAAAATTGAAGCGTTACAGTGTGTCAATGTCGTGATAATGCATTTCATATTGAACATAGCGACATCACATCATAATGCGAATAAAATCAAAGATGAGCGTTTTTACGGATTCCCAAAGATGGTCATGTCACGGATGTTAGCTGTGTTGTTTATCAGCAAAACCCTTGTGCACAATTGGCTATGGATCATTTATATTCAGATACATTCCATATTTATCTGGCCTTACATGTTCTTCCCTGGCGATAACTCCTTTTACCTTCGACACGAGGGTAAATTATTGGATTACACTAACCTTTGTCAAGCTAACAAATACTTGCCGATCAACAACGACAGATCATCGAACCCCAAAGACTATTACGATAAGATTGTAAAAATGGATATAATCCAGTATACGGAACAACTATACGGGACTGGTTATGATGATATTAACGAAAAATTAGGGAATTTCTTTAACGATTCAGTTTTTGAGTTGGACAATTTTGTTTTATCCGATTTCTTCATCCGTGACACTGACTTGTTTGATAAACCGTTTCTTAATGGTAAGATATTCTGGAGAGCATACAAAAAGCTGATACGGAACGAAAAAGACACACTCAGTACCGTGTACCGTACATTAGAGTGGATTGAAGAGCCATTCAAGTGTACTGGGTTTCATGAGTGGGTGTTGCGCGTTTTGAAAATGAATACTTATTTGTACGCTTGGTCGCATATGAAATCATTCGAAAGCACTTTAAGTGACACCAAAAACCATATTGGCGAGATAAATTTTAAAGTCGAGAACACATCTATTTGGAAGTCACCGTGCAAAGCCCTAAGAGTGATCATGCAGTTGTTTCACGACCATGGCGACCAAGTATTATTCAGTATTACTGATCAATTGTGTTTCGATGTAAATGTGTTTAACGAAGAGTTCCTGGAAAGGCTTCGGTACATGACAAATGCTGCGAAAGAAATTATTTCGAACGATTTGAAGGAAATAAGTGCCGGCGATAACGACATTGGCGCCATTTTTGACGTTGACAATAAGCCAGAAACCAAAGAAGACATTTGTCAAAATTTGATAGACTTGGGTGCAAATAAAAACCATGTACGTAGCATACTATACGGTAATGTTGACACGCTTAAAGAAACAGAGTCTGCAACCGAAGAAGATTCATCGATCGTTCGCTCTAAGATTTCTGATCGGAAAGACAAGGAGCCATTAAGTTTTGAAAACGAAGAAGTTACTTTGGATGTATGCATTATAACGGAATCTACAAATAAAGCGACTTTTAAAAACAACAAAATCGTTGAACGGGCTAATAAATTCTTAAAATACACAATCGACCTCTGTTTAAAATTAAGGCCACTTAATGTTTACTTTATTATATTTTTTTATAATGGAAAAGAAAAACTAAACGTAACACTTTTTCCTAACACATTAGTACACCCCCCGAGTACAACGAAACAAACCATAACCGGGAACAACCCCCCAACAAATGTCCAGCCTTTCAACATCTAATTTGTTTTCCTGTCACTTTGTTAGTACATGTAAGATCTAGACAAAATTGTTCAAATTACTAATAGTCGTGGTCTATTCAAAACTTTATAAATCGTTAAACCCACTTTCCCAACCAAGATTTCTATACAGTTGAAAAATGTAAGTTCTCTCTTGGACATTTAAAAGTATATATATATATATATATTAATTTCTTGTGTATACTTTGTATAACTCATAAAGGAGTATATAATACTTGCATTATAATCTAATAAAATAATATAAATAAACAAATGTTAATTCAAATAAAATATCACAGTTATTCCTAATTTATATAGTACCGTTGTTTTTTTTTTACATTCAATTTAGCACCTTGTATAATACCAATTTAGGTAGATAACTAGATAAATAACACAAAATCGGTTGGAAATTTGTAATATAATAAAATCATAATACTTTACCGAACTACCTAATGTCGTTTATGTATATCACAGTATTATTGTGTACCAACTCAAAACACAACAACTGTGAACGCTCGAATCGCTTCAGTTGTGTAGGTACATATCTAAAAACAAAAACCCTGTTGTGATAAATAAACTTCAAGTTGTTTCCAACCAAGTTCCGAACCCTTTTTGATTACTTGGTTTGGTATTTTGTTCATAAATTCCCAAATTTATTTTATCGTCTCATGGGAAAACTAACTAAGTAGCTAATTCAAATTCCAATACTTTTATCATTAGCTAACTAAACTTATGAAGAGATTTTTTTTTCCTCAAATTTTGCGAAGAATTATGTAGATAACCTCTGTTTTCGTGTATCGAACTATTAATGTAATATTTAGTTGTCTACCGTTATAATACTGTGTATTGCAGTAGTATTGTATTTTAAATTTATTTATATAATGTAATGTACTCAACGCAGCTTGTAATTAAAAATAACACTGACGTAAAATATTAAAAAATAAAAATGGGTATAAATAATTTTAAAACTGTAGAAACACTGCACGACAACAGATCCTTTCAGTTCAGTCAGTCGGAACTAGACATTTTAAGGAACTTTTGTGATGGCGATACAAATTGCGTATTAAAAAAAATACAGACCAACTATCAAATTTAAGGCGAAAATGAAGACGTTACAGTGTGTCAATGCTGTAATCGTTTATTATTTATTAAACAAAATTAAAGAAGAGACGAGGTTTAACAAGTACGAGGATCCGCAGATAATCATGCCTCAAATGCTATCAGCATTGTACAGAGCTAGAACGTTTGTTGGTTGTGGACCATTTACATCCGGATATCAGCTGCTGACACTTGGCCCTACATCTTCCTCAGATTTTGGGTGTCACGATGACGACATACGAGCCACTTTCGATGTTAGTGCACTTAAACAGAACAACAAGCCACAAACAAAAGAAAGTATTTATGAAGAATTAATACTATTGGGTGCTGATGAAAATGATACACAAGACGCACTATACGGATCTAATTCAGATGAAATACAACGTAAGAAGAAGAAGAACGGGCAAAGCTTCGTGATAAATGATAATAATCCAGATATGCAACAAGGCGGCATGGAAATAGCGCCAATCACTAAAGATTCAGCAATAAAAAATAATTCTCCCAACTTTTTTAGGTCATGTAAGCATCGTGCAACAGGAAATCCATTCTTCATTAATGAAGAGATATTAATCGGTTACGATAGAAAACTCTCTTAAGAAAATTAGATCTACTTAATTATCGTTTTTTTTGGTATTTCATTAACGGAAATAAATATTTGGACACTACGTTCTTTGATTGGTCAATAATTATAACACACCGTGCTTAATTAAGAATCTATTATTATAGCGTTCTATATAGTTATCTATTAAACTACCTATCTATTATTATTTTGCGAGAACACTTAATTTTTAAGTATGAAAATTATTTACATGTTTCATTTTTTCATGGAGTTTACACTTTATGTTTAGAACGAGTACAAGGAAAGTAAGTTTTCTAAAAACTTAAGTTATTGAAATTGTAAGAATTACTTGTTAGGGTGTGTTTTGTTAACTATAGTATTATTTTTAAATTATACATTATTATATTATTTTATTCCACTAAAATTATAAAGAATAAATTTTATATTAAGTTTTACTCTATATGTACTATTATATAATATAATATTATATAGTATAGTAAATAAAAAACTGTAATCCATGACTTTTAAGCATCCGAAAACTTTAACGCGTTAATCTCAGGAAGTAATATCTTTATATCCGTCGCGATCACCTTGAAGTAACTCACATACAATTGCATTCTCAAATTTTGGCCGAAACAGCTGTAAACATTCTAAGTATTACAATCGTTTGACATGAACATAGTATCTTATGAATGAATATTTGCGTGTTGTTTTTGTCTAAAATTGTTGTAAAATGTAATTTGCAAACAAACCCGTTAGACATTAATCTAAAAACGTTTCATATTTTAATTTACTAAATATACATTTTAAAGGGTTTTAGTATTGCATTACAATAACATATTTTGTAGGCGTACGTTTTAAATAAGTTTAAAATTGCAATTTAAGTGTACAACAAATTTACTAGTTTTTATTAAACACTTTTTTGAGTTATTCACGGTTAAATATATATTAACCTATAAGCGTGACGAGAAGTAGACTATAATATTTTATCCGCACATCATACCTGTCCCAGTATAAATTTTGTTAACATGCAAGACATCACACTTGCGTTTACATTTCATAAATATAGAAACTAAAGTCATAAACTAACGTACATATATTTCATATTATAGTATTATAAAATAAAAACTGTTTCATATTGTTATAATCGTAGGGCGATTTTGTGAAGAATGTTTTTATTAAAAATAATAGTTATGTTGTTCAGTGTGACGTATTGCTTTGTTTTATTAGAGGTAAGAAAAAAAAACCAATTAATGATAGATAGAGTAACTAGTAAGTATTGATTACATTTCATCACAGTGATTGCAACTAAAAATATATTGATTATACAGGGTTTTTCTTCGTTGAATACGTGACCTTGAATTTTACTAAGTACTTGTAGCTTTTTTGTAAACACCTTCTTTGGTTGCTCTAGTACTTAAGCTAGAAATCATTCACCAAAGGTAATTTATAATGAATATACCTACACAAAAAAATGCCCTGTATAACATTAACATTTATTCATTGAAAAACCAACTTTTAATTTGACGCTTTTTTTTAAAAAAATATTTTAACATAATAACATAATGAAGAAAGCATTCTAAATTGATTAGGTACAATTAGTTGTCATTATGATGATACAAATTCTGAATATACAGAGTGATCGTTTTATCGTGAACCACTCAATATTTTAAATAGGTTATATTAATAATTGAGTTTTTTTTTCATAATGCTTTTATATAACGTGATCTCAATTTTCCACAAATATTTATGTTGCTACCCTACTTCTAAACTAATTATTCTTATACCGACTTTTGAAACTTAAATAGTAACGCATGCATTAAATAAAACATTTTAAATTGAGAATAATGTACTAAACATTTTGACTGGACAATAACTAGATTTGGATAACTATTTTTGAAGTTTCAAGTTTAGGACACGACAAAGGGTATAGTATATTATTATTTTTATCTCCGGGCACTTTCCAACCGCACTTCGCCTCCCGTCCTAACTTTTAAAAACTATTATTACTTTAATAATAGTTGTTCAAAACTGTCAACTAGTCAACATTTTTAGTAAAATATTCTTAATTGAAAAGTTAATAAAATATATACGTCACAATTTAAGTTCAAATATTGATATAAAAATAATTAATTTGGGAGAGGGGTAAAAACATGTTTAGTGGTTCGTGATAAATAGGTCTGTATAATTAATCACAACCTTATTCATTGAAAAAAAAATGGTTAAAAATACGATCAAATGACAATATTGCTTGTTATAAAATATTATATTTTTTTTTAACTGACTGCTGCTTTGCACCATACCGATCCAAATAAGATGTCTTTTCTTAAAACTCTTTTATGTGTTAATATTAAAATACGGATTTTGTAAAATATATTTATCCAGGCGGAAGATTGGTTGGACAGTCGATATCGCGAAACCATCTTTAACGAACAATTCGTTTTACGGATAAATGTATTCAAAACCGTAGACTGTGTAAGCGGTAACGGACCCGTTGAGTTGAACCCAATCGACCAAACCCGGCTGCTTGAGCAGTGCAAAGGCCAAGAGGACTGCATACAAAGAAAAGAAATATCGATAGAAAAATATAAAACAAAAATGGAAGCGTTGCAGTGTATAAATGGCGTGATTGTTCATTATTTATTGAATGAAATAACGGCCGAAAGTTCGGGAGATAATCCTTGCAAGTATAATAATGTTTACCGTTGTTATAAGTTGATTGTTTTTATGTCTAGGATGCTTGCAACGTTGTATAGAGGCCAAACGTTTGCACATAAATGGTTGTGGACTTTGTATACACGGTTATTGACTGCCAACAATTGGCCCTATGCCTGGTTGGCTGATGATAACTTAGAGGAATATTCGCAACACCAGAATGATCTATTGAACTACATCGGTATGTGCCAGGAAAACCGTTATTTGCCAACGACCACTGTCAGACCTTCAGCGGCAAAATCATTCTACGATTCCATAGTGGCCATGGATATAGATGTTTACATAGAGCGACTTTACGGTTTACAGTACGACGAACTATTGTCAGCAATATACGATTACGCTTATTTATTCGAAATTGACTATATCGTTTTGGCCGACTACTTCCACCGGGACAGTGATGTGTTTGGTTCGTTCAGAAGAGCAACTATAAACTGGGGTTCGGCCAAAGTTCGGCTAAAGTCAATCAGGTCGACGTTGACCTCTCTGTACCCAACGGACGAGTGGAGACGGAATCCGTTTATTTTTACCGAATATCACGATCAAATCATGCGCATAATGAAAAGCAAAACATACTACCATACGTGGTTGCACTTGACAATTTTCGAAACCATATTGAGCAGGGCGGAAAAACACGTTGACGGGGAATTCAGTTTGAACATCAGCAACCGATCGGCGTGGGACAGGATGTGTTACCATACTTCCGTTGCCGCTAGAGAATTTCAAAATGAGGATATAGTGTTTTATAGTGTCGTGCACCATTTGTGTACCGACATAGAGGTGTTCGACCGGAAGTTTCTGTGGCAAGTCCGATCTATGGCAGATTCTCTGAAGGAAATTATTTCTAATGATTTCAGTGCGATCGGCGTTGGCGACGACGAGATTCGCAGCAATTTCGACGTTACAAGTCGGCTGAGTGGAGAACCAGAAACGAGAGAAACCATTTGTCAAGATTTAATACTTTTGGGCGCTGATGAAAACGACGTATATATCACACTGTACGGTGTTGGAGATGTGCCGCAAACACCACAGTCGGACGAGGGTTGGACGACTGATGACAGTACTATACTAGATTCGCAGTCTGATGACTTAGATAAAGATGAAGATTGTGTTCAACGTGACAGTCAGTCAGACCAACAATTAACACATGAATTCATATTGAATAACGAATACGAACTTTTTAGATATGTCAATAACTTTATGCGTAAAATATGGTCGTTGGAATATTTTTATATATTGTTTTTTAGCAGTGGAAAACATGATTTAAACACTACATTTTTCAGGCAAAACCGATACACAACACAATACTAGTATAGGTTCTTTAATTATACGCGAAATTATTGTGTGCTCAAGTTCTCGACTTTAAATATACTAAATTGTCCTAAATAAATAACTATGTGCAACTACAAAAATGTATTAAATTTTGTTACCATTCTAATTTAGACTTGTAGAAACTACAGCAAAATGTCTAACCATCTCTTTTTTTATATTGATCATTATTAGTCCAATTTATCGATTAATTAATATAAAAAAATACTTTTGATTGTTGTAAATTGTTTTTATCCAAACTTTAATTTTTATCGTTTATACTACATGTATAAGCGTGTTAACATCTTCTGTAGCCTAGTTGTTGTTTTTTTTTTAAATAACTAATATTTGATATATAGAACATCAATAAACATGTTAGTCAAATAACATAAATTCCCTTTACCATAATATTAAAACATAGTAAACAAAAAAAAATCGTAAAAGGTGTTTATTTCTTTAAAACTGGTATTGCTATGTTTCTAGATAGGTACTAATAGTACCAAACGAGTATAGTTTCCATACTTATTGAACACTCTGTATATTAGACTAGAGCCTCAAGAGACACTACGCAAGACTCTTTACGTCATTGCAAATAAATCGAGATGTATATATTTACCTTTGTTCGTGTTTAAAGAACACTATTATTGTATTCATACTTTATCTAGAAATTTTATCCAAAGTTCCCATTTTTTACTTACCTACACATGATTATTTTTCATTCGACAACTTTTATTTTAATAGTTTTGTATCAAAACTCTAAATACTATAATTACTTTCAAGTTATATAAATTGCGAGTATACGATTTACAACACCTAAATATCTACTATACAATTTAGTAAGTTGCACCATGTTTTCTAACAACTGTGAAAAAATAACGATAATGTTTCAGTGAAATCTCAGTTTAATATTAAAAGAAGAATGAGTGTTTTAAAATTTGTATTTTATTTGTTATGTGCAGTAGACTGCTTTCTTACAACCATGGTAAGTTAAAAAAATATAAATATTAAGTAGGTCGTACGATTATTCATTTAGTTTTTCTTACCTAAATTTATCAACAAGTCGTTTCTCCGTAAGAATGGAAAACACTTGTTTTTTTTAAATTAATTTTTCCTTTGTTACTGTTTATAATATGTAGGTTAAACGATTTTTTTTCAGTTCGATTTTATATATTATTAAAACTATAGACAGTAAAATATAACTTAAAGCCTGGTCATTAAAAAAAAAAATAACAATTTATTACAAAAACGATGTGTTTATTATTTGATCATACTAATGTCGCTTATATAAGGCTTAGATGCCATTTAAGTAGGGTGTAGTGCTTTTAAAATTACCTGAGAACTGGCAACTAATATGTTTCGAACAATTTTTCTAAACGTTATACACTTTTAAATTCTACTCTCTAACAGGAGAGGTTTAACGAACTATAATTTTTTCATTATATTTACACTTATGATAAAACTGGACGCTTACAATATCCTAAAGTTGATAAAACGTGGGAAAACGACCACAGTATTCAAAATATTTGAAATAATTATGTGTAAATATAAGATACATTTTCCGCTTTTTCGACTTTTCTAAGTATAGTTCTTTTTTTTGGGGGGGGGGGGGGGTAAGCGTTTTTATGAAGATCCCAATTTGAAATTTACACATTTTATAAAACAAATTCCACAGCTTTCTAAAAAAAAAAGTTAGAAAAATTCTCAAATTTTAGGCAACACGAAAAAAACAACTTATAAACTGAATTATTGTAATGACTTTCTGTTAAGCGAAAAAAAATAATATTTTTTTTCAGAAAGGTGAGATTATTTTACATAAAAAACTAGTTTTTAATCAATTTTTTTAATGACCGAAGATACTATAAAAAAAAATGATAAAAAAGAGCAGTCAAGACAAAAACTCAAAATATTTCCGACCACGACCAAAATAATTGAAAAAAACATCCAAAAAAATTTGAGAAAATTTTCGTCATTGTGACAGACATGCAGTGTAATTTTCAAAAAAATCAGTGGGGGGTTGCGTCGGTCCAAACGTTCGTCCATATTTGTCATTTTGGCCTATATGTTTTTTAAATTAAGATATTAAAATAAAATTTAAACTTTTAACATAAATTGTATTCATGATATTACACAGGGATACCGTTGGTTATCCAAAAAATACTGCGAGACCCTTTTTGAAGAACAATTTCTTGAGGTAATAAATGAATTTAAAACGGTAGAATCGGTAGAAGGTAACGAACGCATTGTGCTAGACAAAAGAGACAAAAAACTGTTGACAACTATATGCAACGGTGAATTTAAATGCATCAAGGCGAAATCGTTTTCAATAGTAAAGTATAAAAAAAAAATGGAGGCTCTACAGTGTGTTAACGGCGTGATAGTATATTATTTATTAACTAAGATAAAAAACAACCTGTACAAGTTGGCAGACATGAGCATATATAATCATCCTAATACGGTCATAACCCGAATGATTGCAGTGTTGTACAAGGCAAGTACCTTTGCTCATTCTTGGATTTGGACCATTTGTATCCGACTGCAGGCTTCATTCCGTTGGCCGTACATATTCGCTTCAGACACATTTATCGATTACCCTCAACACGAGAGAGATTTATTGAGTTACATAGACCAATGCCAACACAACAAATACTTACCCGCAACCACTGTTAGTCCATCGAATCCAAAGGACTTTTGCGATTCCATAGTTAACCGTGACATCGACGAGTACATCGAGCACCTTTACCGGGATGACCAACGACTGATACACATCTACGCTTCGGCCAGCCTGTTTAATATGGACTATTTGGTTTTAGTCGATTACTTTTACCGGGAAACCGACTTGTTTGGCCTGGCTAAAGATGACAACGTCGACTGGGCTGGGTCTAAGGAACGACTCCGACTCGAAAAGGATAAACTGATCGCTGCCTACCGTACGGCCGAGTGGGTGCGAAATCCGTTCTTATTTGTCGAATACCACACTCGAGTGACACGTATAATCAAGATAAAAATGTACTATCACGCTTGGAGGCACTTGGCGACATTCGAGCACGTCCTGAGCACGGCACAAAAACACGTTGATGTCCGAGTCGATATTCAAGTGTACAGTGTCGTTTGGCGGTCGTTGTGCACACTGCTAACGCAAGACATTTATCGTTTGCACATCGAAAGCCCGGTGATATCCAGCGTCACTTACCAGATGTGCCGTAAAATAACAAAATTCAACAAGGAGTTTGTGAAAAAACTGCGATCAATGGCGAACGCGTTAAAAGAAATCGTATCCAAAGACTTAAATGCTTTGGGTGTCGACGACGTTGGTGTTCGTACCACTTTCGACGTTACACAACAGCAAGGCAACGATCCAAAAACGGCGGAAAGCATAAGGCGAGATTTAATGTTATTGGGTGCCAATGAAACCGATGTGGACTTTACGTTGTACGTGGGAAACTCCGAGTTCGTCACGGACGATTTGCTGGACCTGAAAGATGACAACAAAGACGTTTCCTCGATAAACAGCCAAACCGACTTGCCGGTGGACTTTCAAGGTGCTTTTGACGGTGAACTGTCTGACGATTTCGAAGGTGAAGCCAACAACAACAGTACGGATTTACACTATTCGTATGCTGCGAGAAATGCTATCACATACTATAAATATGCTCACAATACTTTTAAAAAATTTCTACCGCTAGATTATTTTTATATTACATTTTTTTTCCACGGACAATACAGTTTAGACGAAACATTTTTTCCTAACAAATAACGACCAACTTTGAAAGAAAAGAAAAAAAGTTGTTAAAAATATACCTTATAGCACTTGACATATATTTTATTATATTTAAATTTAAAATTTAAAACTCAATAACACAAACAAGCTCATTTCGTATCCGTTTAATATATAAACTATTAGTGTTTAATAATATTTTGTTTAATAATCATACTAAGTTTTGCATGTCTGTATAATAATATACAATTATAAGGCGCATAGTCTTAGTATGAAGACTATATATCGCGTTAGTAAATAAGAGATACACGGTATTCTTAATTAATAAACAGAATACTAACTAAAATGTATAGTTAATAACGGTTTCTAATTATATAATATAAGCAGTTATAATGTTTTATTAACAAGAAAAAGCTATTTTTAATATAAAAGCCTAAAAAGTATAATATTGAGTATTGTGTTACAATATTGTTGATTTATATATTATAGTTTAATACTATATTTATTATCTTCTTATGAATATTTGTATACAATTTGATAAATTAAAAAGATATTCGTTATGGGAGTTCAAGACCGAAATACATTTTTTTCTATATATTAATATGCTGGACATCTTAATGATGATATAGGATATACATTTTATAGAAATGTATTTTCTTATTTCTTATTGTTAGTTGTATAGATTGAATAGTTGTTAAAATGATAAAATTAATATAAAAGCTCATTAAACAATATTGTAAAAAAGAACATAAATATTTTATAGTGATAAGTGATTCTGAAACCAAACTGGGTTTACACATTTTTAGGAGTTTATTCTTTTTGAAATAAGTAGTTTTTCAATTCTCCATTCTTCAAAGGTCAAAATGACTAACGAATATTATAATATCAGATTTTTAGGTGAATAGAACCTGCACAAGTAAATCATTTTTGAGTTTTTTAAAAAGCTTCGATACATGGCAAAATCTGAGAAAAATTCTTTTTCGAACGATTTGAAACAAACGGATAAAATTTTCTCTGTATAAAATCCAAAATTTTATACAGATAGATGCTATTGAAATTATGTACCTGGCATATTATACCGTATATGATAACCTTGACACGTTAATAGACACACGGTCGGCAATTGAGGAAGGTTCATCGATCGTTTTTGAGCAGAAGACAACGAGCGATTAAGTTTTCATAACGCAGGAGTTAGTATAGCCATATGCATTTTTACCTGTAAGTGTTTTTAAGCTATGTCCACGTGAACTTTTTAATTAGAAGACTATTTTCTTAACCTCACTGGGAACTTTATCGTATGCCTTTTCTAAATCTATAAATACCGCACACAGTTTTTTTTTCTTCTCCCTTTATAAAAAATACTGGTTACATACAAAATACAAAATATTGGTTCCTTAGTTG